TGCCATATGGGGGAACTATCAACAAGATTGTTCTGTGGGCAGGATAAACTGTAAATGGATTTTTCCTTAAACAAGATAAGCAACTAAGAGAGCAAACCATGTATTGACACCCCTGGAGGGAGTGGAAAAGTTATAAATCTAGTGGAGGCATGGATAAGAAGAAAACTGAAGTTAGGTTTCCTTTAAAGTAAATAGTAACATTCATAAACAATAGTTAGCACCGAGGAGGTGCTAAGATAGAGTATTTGAAATGCACAGTATGGAAAGGCCTATAATGTATATAAAAACAATAGAGCCCACATCTTATTTCCAGTGTTGTCAACAGCAGTTATTTCCCTAAGAAATACAAGCCAGCACCTAAAAAGCAAAAGTACATTTTATGGATTTCAACACAGAATTTTGTATTAAGCCAATTTGTGGCTATTGAGGACAAGGTGGAATCAAATAAAAAGTTTATGTTACTTCTTTATAAATGTTTAAATAAATTCTTCAGAAACTATGCATGTTTCTTTTAATTCAGTGCTGAGTAATTGAAGCTGCCCAGCCCATGGGAGGTAAAGCTGGAGTGTACGCTCACCTCTCTGTTCGTGACAGTATTTGCTCTTGTATTTTTTTTTTTTTTATAACCAGCTTAGGCATTCCAGCATGCACAGGGAAATTCTGGCTGTTGAGAGAGGTGAAACTCCTGCATATCATGTGTTCATGTAACTTAAAATCTCCTCTGAGCTCTTGGAAGAGTACTGCCTGGCCTCTGAAAATCAGACTCTATTAACTAGACAACTGTCTCTGTCAGTTCCCTTGGGCAGTGGCTTGAGAGATGTTTCACTTTATGTATGTTTTGTTTTGTTGCTTGGAAACATGAATGTTATAAGCACATTTTTTTTTTCCAGCAGGTGCTCACAAGAAAAGGTTTTGCAGAATCGGGATCTTTGCTGACAAGGTTTGAGATTTGAGATGTTTACTGTAACAGAATCCCAGAGGTCACACGGAAGTTCTCTTTTTGTAAATTAGAAGAGTCACCCCACCTTGTTCAAAGGACATGAATTTTTAGAGCTATAAGAAATGTAGACCTTTGCTGCAAGTTCTTTCATTCTTAGCAGCCACTGAACAGTGAGGTAGATAGGGGTCCTGAATGCTCGCACTTTGATTCTGTTAAACAGCTTGGTTTTTTGAGCTCAATTCTGTAAAGAAATTTCTTCCCTTCTGCTCCTCCCATGATCTTCATGAATTTCTTATACTAATTCCTTCTGCTCCAGTGAGTAAGGAAATGCAATATGCAGGTCTTTCTCGGAATCACTGTATCATTGAGCCTGCTCAGGTTGTGGTTTAATGTATCATTAGAACCAATTTTCTCTTCTAGGTTTTCCATGTGGTGCTTTCCTGTCCCCGACCAGCCCAGCAGGGAGTAACATCACCAACCCACACACCATGGGACCTGATGGCTGGGGATTCTTACTGCTTCTCTCACAACTTCATGCCCAGCTGCCTCATTTAACCATTTTGTGTCTTCAGTCCCTAAAGCTCTTCAACAACAGCCTGTATTGTCATACCGTCTATGAGTAATCCCTACAACCCTTATACAACATTCATCCTGATTTTTCTGGGGCTGCTTCTGAAATAAGATCAACATGCATTTTTTTGTTCTTTGAGTTCTCTTCCACTGCGAGAGCAGAGGGGCTGGGCTGGATTCAGTTCCCAGTTTTGCTTAACATGGATGATGGAAGCCTACCCATTTTTCAGACTATCATTCATGACTGTGTTTTGTTCAGTCCCAGTATGCTTTTCCAAATAAATCCTTACTTTTAAAGTACTGGTTGTAACCATTATTGCTTCTACTCATTTATTACCTGTTGTGAATAAATTAATGCCTACTGAACTTTCTAAGCATGCTTTACCCCTTCCCTGTATCACAAATAGGCTTTGATTAAACATAGATACTCCAAGGACAGTGGTACAAGTGGCCCTACCCCAAATATTTTTGCTTTATGCATGCATTTTTCTTTTCTGGATTCTAGAACCTGAAGCTTTTCTGCAACTGCAGCAATGAAATAAGGTAAGGTTCTTTGAAAGAACAATCATTCCAACACTTGGTAACTGCATCACCAGGACACATACCTGTGCCTGCTTTCTGAAACTGCTATTTCAAGGATGGAAGAACCTTCTGAAGGAATCTGACACATAGCTAGGTAAGCAAATTCTTGTATTTGAAGATATTTCTCACAGGTAAGCTTTGCTGCAGGTCTGATGAGCGTGTGCCTGAGAGCATGGAAAGTTTAGTAGCCAGGCTGAATTCTCAGAGTGGATTCTACATTCTCAGCATCTCCAGGGTTGTTTTTTCTATTAGTTGCGCAATAAGACAATAACTTCCTTGAGGAAGATCCTTTTAAATGAGGAAATACCATGCTTTAAGCTTTTACTCAAACTGCTTAATCAGCATTTATGCAACTGAAATGTTACTTAAAGGATTACTGACTTAAAGACCTATAGGTGTGCAGTTGGTTGTGTGCACATGTGTGTATCTATCTATATATAGGTGTGCACACATACACACTGTGGAATTTGATCTCCAAAATTATTATAACAATGCCCTCAGCTGCTATTATAGCTGCAGGATAGGTCTCCATACAGGAAAACATGTTTTCATTTACTTGCTCCTAAATATCTATACACTTACTCCTACAGTTCTGCCTCAGCTCTGAATGACCTACGCTCAGTACAGGACATGAGATTTTGAAAAAGATGTTCATGTTCTATTTTATATTTTATATTCTCCCCTGTTCCCAGCAAGATTTGCTGTGATCTGAGCCACTGCAAAGCCAGCTATGTTCGTTCCATGCCACAAAGGGATTTCATCGTGTTGGAAAACTATCCATTGGCTCAGGTAAGGCAGCCTCTTTGCCAGGAGCACCACAGGACTTTTAAAAGCCAGGCTATAGCTTGCCAAGTTTGAAGGTACAGCAAAAAATGTAAACAAGTAACACACGCTTGAATATGAAGGAAGAACAGAACAAGACCTTGTACAATCCCCAGCACATGGAAAAGAGCTCTGATACAGTTCTGATTGTAGGAAAAAAGCACCAAAACCCTACTCTGGCTCTCTCAAAATGGGTTTCTATAAATAGAAGGGGGGAAAAAAAAAAAAAGGATAAATTAGTTGGTAACTGTACAAACAGGCTTGGACCAACCTTAAGATACCCATATATGTTTCAAAGTTGGAAGATGAACCTATAGAACAACACTGTAACACAGCTTGCTCCCAGCGGAGAAGTTCTGTTATTTTGTTGAACATGTATAATCATAGATTACAAAATTAGCTACTTGTATCACACTGTAAGATTGTATCACAGTATAAAATCATGGCACTGACCGTGAAGATACTATATCCAGGTTCAAGCAACCCTAATATTTCATCTCACTTCTCTCCATAAACTGCTGGGTGGTACTGGCTAAATAATTTGCCATTGTTATGCATCAGTTTCCTATGCCTAAGACAACAGTAGTGATGTTTTTTTGGCTTTGGAAAATGCTTCAAGGTATGCTAACCAGAATAATCACATTTGGGAACCAGGCAATAAATTTTTATGATTGTTGAAGTCAGAGATGCTAATGGCATTGATTTTTAAATGGGTCACAAGTCAATAGGAACAAGGTTTTCCCCTGGAAACAGAACTACCTCAGCCAGAATTTATAAGAAAACAAGACTACATATAATGGCCTTTGGGATGTATGTAGACCAGCATATACCTTATTCTGCCTCTTGTCAAGGATGATATACAAAGACAGTCGTGTAATAGATTTGATTCTTATCACTTATTGCATTCACAGTGACATATATGTACATTGATGCAGTAAAATGAAATCTACAGGAAAGCTCAGGCCTTCACAACTCTCTTCTACTTCACTTACAGACAACGATGGATTTTTTTTTTCCAAAGGATTTTGAAGTGACTCGCAAAGTCTCTCACCAGTTCTGAATTAACTGCTCTTGAACCTACCCCACGAATAAACCACTCTAACCCACACTGTAGGTAAGCAGTTCAGTGTCATCTTCCAAAACTGTGTTAGTTAGGAAGCTCAGGTATATGGGTTTTCCTGCCTTTTTGTCCTAAATTACATGAAGACTCTCAAAACTAGTTCCCCCTACCTTAAAATCTTGTCAATTATATTCTTTTCAGACTAAAACAGTTTTGCTAACCTTATGCTTTGTTCTCAGAACTCGTTTAAAATAACTCTTTTGTTCCATAGTAATAGGCGGACTGAAAGAAACTGTGAGAATGCAGAATGTAACTAAGGAGACTGAGTTACTCCTACTTTTTCCTCTGCCTGAGTATTTTTATTCAGTATGCTTTTATTTATTTATTTTACTTAATGAACAATTTTGGTACTCTGCTACCCAGACCTGCTACCCAGGTCCTTGCTCAGAAAATAGCAGCCATGATTTTCACTGGGCCTTGAGGCATAGCTGAAACTGAAACATTGTATAATCTTCATTTAATTTTGGTGGAAAGACAGGAGACAAAAGGGCTCTGCATTGCTTTTGGGACCAAATGCAGTGAGAACTTCTAATGAGATCAAAATCACGTGAATGTTTCTATAAATCTCTGCAGTTTTAATAGAATGCACACTATAGAAATCAAAGGACATAAAAGGCAGATGAAATATTCTGGGATGGGAAACAGTGTAGGTGTGATTCTGGAAGATGATGTGGTCTTTTGAGTTATTATTTTGGGTAAATCCATTAGAAACACTCACCTGGGAAGTCACAAATACAGAAGTAGGCAAAACATTATTTATTAATTCAGTATTTTATACCACCTGTTTTTCACACTTTCTTCAGAAAGCATAATTTTTACCTGTTTGACGGTTATTTTTTCAGGGTTCAGGAGCATCTTGAGTTATCCTAAGAATCATGCAGTATATTTTCTCAGCTAACGATATGTGAATTTTGATTATAACAACGCCGTAACAATGCTATTTGTATGCAAAGCCGAAATAGTTATTTTTTCAGAGTTCAGGAGCATCTTGAGTTATCCAGTATATTTTCTCAGCTAACGATATGTAAATTTTGATTATAACAACGCCATAACAATGCTATTTGTATGCAAAGCCGAAATACTTTCTAAGAAATGACAAAAATACTGACAAAACATTCAATAAGACATGAATATGGTGTATTTCTAGACCATGTGCAATGACAATTTCACTTGCAAATAAAGCCTGTACCCATTAATTCATTGGGGACCAAGTTACATCCTTGCTGCTCTTGTTGAACAAGAACCCCTTCTCTCAGGACTGTCTCTGCCTTATCTGTCCATCTACCTTTTCGCTTTTGAACAAGGCTTCCTACTCCTGCAGCCTAAGAAAAGCAGCAGTTGCCTTTTTAACTATTACACTGATAAAGATGGAATACTCCACAAGTACTGCAGTGTGCATCATGGCATCATTCAATGAGGACATTTGGTTGTCAAGATTCCTAAACCTGCATTTCACAAATATTTTTAAAACCTCTCAGTAGCCTTCATTTTTACCTGTTGATGGCAGTCATGGACATGTGAGAGTGAAAACAGAGCTTGGAGGCTGAAAACTAGAGAGCAACTTTTGATGTGCATGCAATTATTGGCTCTGCTTAAGCAGATGCCCAGTTAATCAGGAGCTGGTAAAAGTATAGAACTATGCGTGGCATAATTGTTCCCCATTTGGAAGAGTTCCACGGTAATAGTGAGACAGCCATTTTTTCATTTTAACCATCAATTCCTTGGTTGTTCCACAAAAAAGGCTTGAAGCACTGATTGTTCACAGCCTCGCCACCAGTGTGCTGCTGTGGGGCTGTAACAGGCAGGTTCTGAATGGCAGAGCAACCTGCAAAACCAGGTGTTGTAGCAGTGTACCAGGTACCACAGACTCTGGCTAGTTTTGCCAGTGTGTTTGAAAAAGCTGGAGAAACACACAAACTGGTGAAACTGCCTAAAGATTCGTTTAATTCAGTATGTTCTCTATAAAGGGGTTAATATCAGCTGATTGAGAAAAAAGTGCAAGAAATTTTGCAACTGAGAACTATGGAGCAACCTCCTTACAGGAGGGGTTTTCATTAGATCTAAACCAAGCTTCTGGAGAAAAACTTCTATTTTTGCTTCAGCTGACCAAGTCCTAGCACACAGGGATGCCTCAGGTTTGAGAAGTGTCACCATTTTGTGAAATTGTGTGAGTTACATTTCCAATCCATTTCAGGTATTTTAATGTGCTTTGGCTGGGCTACCTACTTCCGAGTGGCCTAACAAAAAAACATGAAGACTTGGTTTTGTTAATTATGTAAATTAGATCTTCAGGTATTAGCAGATATTTTGAGCTAAATTTTCAGTTATGAACAATATTTTTGTAATATATAGAAACAGATAAGGACATGTGTCAAGTAAGTCCCCACTAAATACTCCAATCTAGGATGGTTTCTGTATCTACCTGTATGCACATGCCAAAAAAGTGAAGATCAAAAAATGAAAAAGAAATTTAAAAAATAAAGATACTGCATATAGAGTAGCTTCCAGTACAGAACTATATGAAGAATTCAGAATTAAAGTGTTGCACACAGTAATGTGAAAGATTTTAAAGTGCAGCAAAATGGATTTGTCCAGTGAGATTTATAAAACAAAACAAAAAAGCCCCACCCACCCCACCTGAAACAACCCTCCACCCTGAAAACAACCATTTTCAATCTTCATAATCCCTCTTCATACCAGTAGTATAACTGTATATCAATCAAATTTTTCACTGCAGAATAAAATGTAATGAAGTCACTGGATCAGAAACAGGAACTACTGCAACAGTTGTATATTTACAAAAGAATAGGTGTGGTGAAAAATGAGTTATGTGTGTATGTGGTTATACCCAGCGTGTGTAAACACATTTGGCTGGTCGGGTTTCCTTACCCAGATTCCATGGATTTGAAGAGGTGGCAGAGCACGGACCTGTGGACAGAAATTCTCTTTAGGTCTCATAAAACAGAGTAGGGATAAAGATTAGAATTTGAAAAAAAAAAAAAAGAGAGAGAGAGAGAAGAGATTCTTAGGAAAGGATAAGATCTGAATTTAAAAAAAAAAACTTTATTAAAAACTTTATAAAAAACAAACAAACACACTTAGGTACTAAAACTGCCCCACTACTAAAAGCGCGTAAGAAGAGAGAGAGAGAGAGAGAAGAGATTCCTAGGAAAGGATAAGATCTGAATGTGTACTTTATTAAAAAAAAAAGCAAACCAAACACACTTAGGTACTATAACTGCCCCACTACTAAAAGCGCGTAAGAAGATTAGAAGGAAGAAAAGCACTATCTATGATAAGGCACGTGCAATGGGAAAAAAAGAACCAAACATGCACCAGTTTATTATGACAGTTAATTCACACAACAATTCTTCTAGTCCAATAGCAAAATCTCAATGTCATTACTCTCTCAGAGACAAAATGTGATTTACTGTTTGTTATGAACCTCAAAATGTTATTTTTGTTCATTACACAGATTTCTTCTGTATGATCCAGTGTTAGCTGAACATTTTTTGTGACCTACAAATTTTCCTTAGCAAAACAAGGCTTTTTTTTTTCTTTAATCCCTTATGTGATGTACTTTTCCCCCCCCAATGTGGTAAGTGGTCAATCTTTTCCACACAGATTGTGGTGTATCCCCAAAAGGACATTTTAATCTCTGCTATGCAAAAAGGTTGTCTCTAACAACAGCAACAAAAAAAATTTAAAAAAAAAATGCAATTTGCCTACTACAAATCCCTCTGAGACTTTGTGACTTAAATATTGCAGTGTGTAATTGCAACGTGTGTAACTGCTTTTGACATCTCTAGAAAACTTTGCAAATATCTAACAAACTTGTGGTGTTTCTTAAGCAATTAGATTTAATCAGTATTTTGCAGATAGGAATGCTAGGTGAACCTCTAGCCTCAATCTAAAGAACATCCTCAACCTGCATACACTTGGTTCCATGGGTTTTAATGGGGTAATTCCTGTTGACAATGCACATACGGGCATATTTCTTTCAGTGGGGGAAAAGAAATTATTTTCTCATGGTTACTGAACAGCATATAAACACGAGACTATAATTCAAGAATCCTAAAGGAATTCTAATTTCAGTAAATTTCTTATTTTGTTATTTGTAAATCCCGGGGTGATTATTCTAATTTCAGTAAATTTCTTATTTTGTTATTTGTAAATCCCGGGGTGAAGAATTAAAGCTTTAGCACAGCAAACGTGTTATTTAAAACAAACATTTGATTATTATAAAACAAGGGCTTAACCACACCAGGATCTAATAGTTATTCATAACAGACAACCTGAATAATAGCCAACCCACTTTCCTACAGGTTAATTAGCACACCTATTCTTTCTCTTACTAATTACATGTAGCCACGCCTACCTTCCCAGAAAGCAAATAACAGTTTGTTTTAAATTCTGGAGAAGCAAGCAACTACTAGGGGATGAGTCTGTAAAAAAAGAAGTTTTGGTCTCTGTAACCTTTTTTATTTTGGGGTTGTGGTTGTTTTTTTTTTACTTTATTACAACATACTTTTTCTGGAGAGGTTTTTAATTCAAAATTTGCTACAGTGCTGTGGGTTATTTTACTTTTTATTGTAAACCAACTTGGGTAGTAAGGTAATCTCACCTTTTAACAAACTATGAACAAATAGGGGAGAAAACCCCCAGATTTAAACCTGTTGATAGGAGAAAAAGTGATGTAATACTGTGTGAATACTTACTTTCCATTTGTAAGTAACAATGTTTTAGTATGTGAGCACTGGTGTGAGAAGATTCCATCTTGGTAACATCTGTCCTGCCTGGCTTATCTGAGGCCCAGTCTGTAAAACAGAAATGGCGTTTATTTTAATTTTTTTTTTCACTTTGCCTCATTTTTTTGTTTGCTTCCCTCTTTTCTGCAATGCCTCCCAGAGCAGAGTTGGATGTGCATCCCCTGAGAAGAAGGTGAAAAGGCGGCTCTGGAAACTTTGGCCAGGCAAGTACCCTTATAAGCGAAGTTAGAAAAAAACCTAAGTTTTAAGCTGACAGAATTGTCACTCGTCAAATTCCTGAGGGAAAGATGGTAATACAAAGAGATTTACTGCTGGTGAGCGGGGTTTTAAGATCTCGGGCCCTCAGTTTATGCGGTTATTTGAGGCCTCCGGCCCTCACCCTCACTCGCGCTCTGCGGCCTGGGGTTCTTACATTCAACATGGGTGAAGGGGTATCAGCTCCTCCTCCTCCGAGCCCTGCTCTCTCCGGGCGATTCCCGGCTCAAATAACGCCGTTTGTGGGCTTCTGCTTTTTCTTTTGTTCACGACAGGCTTTTCAAGGCGCGTTTGCGGCCTGGGCGCGGCGGGGCAGAAGCGAAACAACTCATCCCCCCTTCTCCCGCCCCCTCCTCTTCCTTCAGCGCCCGCGGCCTTTGTTCGCGCTCGGGGAGGAAGCGCCGGGGAGCGGGGCCGAGCCCAGCCGCCATGGGCGGGCGGTGGTGATCGGTCGGCCCTTCTTGTCCCCCCCTTCCCGCCTAGACGGCCTGACTGACTGACTGGAAGGACGTTGAGGGGAGGGAAGGCCAGCCGGCCGCCATAGGAGGGAGGGCGGGCGGCCCTTGCGCGTCCCCTTCTTCCCGCCAGACGGCCTGACTGGAAGGGCGTTGCCCGCCCGTGAGCGCGCACAGCCCCGGCCGCGGCCCTGCTGCCGGCTCCCCCGTCGAGGCAGCGAGGCCTGAGGCGCGGCGGGGCCTGCCTCTGCCGGCGGCGGCGGGGCGGTGCCGGCG